GCAATATTCAAAGATGATAAAGGGGAAGCATTTTATATTCCTCTATTTGATACTAAAAGACTTCAGATAGAAATGCCTTAGATCATTCAAAGAAATTCTCCTTTCTTTCATTCTATAGAGATCCCATTATGCCACTTGGCTCTCAGGAACATTGACTTTTAGTGATTCAGTGCATTGATGACAATGCGTATCAATACTTTTTCCTTTAAGGCCCAAATGATGTCAAGATTAACATGTTTTTATCTTAAATTAAATAAGCAAGAGATTGGACAGAAGATTCAACTAAGATTCTTGGTGTTTTCATTGGTTATGAACAGATATTGAAAAATGACAGTGAGTTATGTTTTTTGCTTCTTTGGAGCATTGTGCTCAAAAATGTATATTTTGTGGCCTGACATCAACAGGAAGAAACTTCAGAAAATTTTACTCTTTCTTTTATCCTAGATTTCATTCAGTTAGAAATGAACAATTGATCTCCTTCTGTTGTTCTTGAGATCAGATTTTGGCTGAGATTAGAAGGATAAATGCGATGCTTCCAACATTGCTATTTTATGATTGATAAAAGGGTGGAATATGTGGTGAGAAGAGAAATTTATATTCTGCAGTATTTGGGACTTCTCACACCTTTCTGTAATGGATTCTTTTCACTAGTCTGTCTACTATGATAGCCAATTATGTTCAGAGTGGTATTTCTGAATATCAAGAATTAGAAATAAATCACTGACGGTAAAGAATCCACCTACCAATGCAGGGTACGAAGTAGACATGGGTTTGATACCTGGGTTGAGAAGATCCCCTGAAGGAGGAAGTGGCAACCCATTCCAATATTCTTGCCTGGAAAATTCCATGGACAGAGGAGCCTGGCGGGCTACAGTACATAGTGTTGCAAAGAGTTGGACACGACAGAGCAACTGAGTATGCACGCATGCACGCAGCTGAACTGATGGTGGCATGATAGGATGCCATATATTCTCTCTATATGGTGAATGAAAGCACAATTGTAGGCTAAATTTTTAAAATAATAATTAGAAGGATTTAGATACAGGCTTCTAGTTTATTAGGAATAGAAATATTTAGTCAACCTGAATACTTCACATCTGGTTTTGTTCAATTTTTGCTTGGTTATATTTTTCTCCATCTGTTCTGTATGTGTGACCCTAATCTTGTATAATCTGAATTGTGTTGTAGTTTGCAGTCTCCTTTGTGGAATATAATTACTCTTTGTCAAATACCATCACTCAGGGCAGACTTAGCAAAAAAAAAAAAAAAATCACTATTTTCTGGAACTGTTTCACATTTTCTTAAAAACAGTCCTCTCATGTTCCTCTTCCATGTTCTTTTTTATGTCTTTTTTTGAAGCAACACTTGAAGGTACACAGTAAGCCACCTTGCTGCTCTTTATCAGTTTCGTCCATGAGAAGCTTAGCTTGCTCATCACACTGGTGCCGTGGAGCTCTAAGATTTTTGTATTGCCCTAAGAACCTAGATTTCCTTATTTCCTCTTTGTTTAATTCTGTAGATTTTTAACTTGCTGTCAAATTTGAGTATTATCTACTTGCCTGCCAGTGTATTCTGTGTTTCTGTGATCAGCCTTTTGTTCCTTTAGTCGTCACTGGAGGGCTATTTTATTAGTCAAAGACTTTTGTTAGAGTGCTAAAGTATAATTTTCAAAAGTTAAAAACATGACCCTCATAACAATATAAGATGAATATGTCAAAGTTTTTATTAATGTTAATGAAAGAACAAGTTTGATATTAAATATGGTTTGAAGAGGAATATGAAGAATTGGGGTTTTTCTAGTTTGTCAGTTAAAAAATGCAGAAATAAATTTGCTAGTGAATATATGACTGGTTAATGGTTAATGTGTGCTAAATAAGAGATAGTAATGTGTGCTAAATAAGAGATAGTAATCTTTGCTTTACTATCCTGTATGACCAGAAATCATTTAAATTGCTGTTGTTGAAGAATCACTTGCAACAAATATTCTTAGATAAGGACTATTTGCAATGCTTTTAGACATGAATTGTATGCATGGCTATCAGTTTTCTAAAAATTAATCTCTAATGTTATAGAATTATAAAAACAGTAGTGAATGATACATTTGCTGTCAAAACTATATACACACTCACTAGAAAACCAGATAATCTTCAAAACTATATACACACTCATTAGAAAACCAGATAATCTTCAAGAAATATAGTGCGGTTACTCCCCACACTATATTAAAAATACCACCAGTGATGTCTTTGTCTGTTTTGGATAAAACTTTTGGATCAATTTTCATGGCAAGTTTGATTGACAGAGTGAAATGTGGCTGAAAACAGATCCTGTTTTGTGTAGAAACTTGGATGTCATATCAAATTCTTTGTAAATTTAAACCAAGTAAGTACTCTCCTACTAATGTAGGTCAGGCTTTTTTTTGTTTTGTTTTTCCATTTCTGGTTCGCTGGCCTATAGTCTACAATGGTGCTCTTGTATAATATGTAAACTAAGCATTAACTAATTTAAGAACATTTTTCCACCACTCATAGTGGGGAAAAGAGCAAGGGCCTTCCTCTGACCAAACTTCATAAGCAAATGACAAAGGTTGAGAAAACCTAGGTTGAATTCTGAGTTTTTTATTTTAGAATTCTTTTGTTTGTTTTTTTAAGCTTTCCAGAAAGTATTGACTGATAATTTTCAAACTTTTATATGTGATATTAGTGTAAGTTTCAAATAATTTTATAAAATAACCTTGATTTAAAAACTGAGGATTGGATGGAACTAAAAGTAAGTTCTTAACATAAAATTTCTATGATTTGCATAATGTGAAGAAAGTTACCATACAACTACATATACTTTAGTGATATTCCCTGTAGCTGAAACAGGAAAGAATCTGCCTGCAATGCAGGAAACCCGGGTTTGATACCTAAGTCAGGAAGATCCTCTGGAGAAGAGAATGGCAATCCACTCCAGTATTCTTGCCCAGGGAAATCCCATGGAAAGAGGAGCTGGTGGGCTACAGTCCGTGGATTCACAGAGCCAGACACAACTGAGTGACTTACACTGCATATACTATACACACACATGCACATGCAAACACACACACCTATATATGCATATAATATAAAACAATTACCTCAGATATGCAGATGATACCACCCTTATAGCAGAAAGCGAAGAAAAATGAAAGACCCCCTTGATGAAAGTGAAAGAGGAGAGTGAAAATGTTGGCTTAAAACTTAACATTCAGAAAAATAAGATCATGGCATCCAGTACCATTCAGTTCAGTTCAGTTCAGTCGCTCAGGCGTGTCCGACTCTTTGCAACCCCATGAATCACAGCAGGCCAGGTCTCCCTGTCCATCACCAACTCCCGGAGTCTACCCAAACCCATGTCCATCGAGTTGGTGATGCCATCCAGCCATCTCATCTGTGTTGTCCTCTTCTCTTCCTGCCCCCAATCCTTCTCAGCATCAGGGTCTTTTCCANATTCATTGGAAGGATTGATGCTGAACCTGAAACTCCAATACTTTGGCCACCTGATGTGAAGAACCAACTCATTGAAAAAGACCCTGATGTTGGGAAAGATTGAAGGCAGGAGGAAAAGGGGATGACAGAGGATGAGATGGTTGGATGGCAACACAGATGCTATGGACATGAGTTTGAGTAAGCTCCAGGAGTTGGTAATGGACAAGGAAGCCTGACGTGCTACAGTCTCTGAGGTCACAAAGAGTCGGACACAACTGAGCAATTGAACTGAAATGAACTAATTACAAAAATGTTTTTTAACTAGCTTCACCACGCTTCCCTGGTTGGTCAGATGGTAAAGCATCTTCCTGCAATTCAGGAGACTCGGGTTCAATCACTGGGTCGGGAAGGTCCCCTGGAGAAGGAAATGGCAATCCACTCCAGGATTCTTGCCTGGAAAAATCTCATGGACAGAGGAGCCTGGCAGGCTACAGTCCATGGGGTTGCAAAGAGTCGGACGTGACTAAGCTGCTTCACTTTCTTTTCTTTTCTTTCCAGAACAAAAAAGGGTCAACTTTGGGGGAAAATGAGGTTCAAATGATCTTCAATATCAAACCAATTGAAAAAACTGTAGTCAGAATAAAAGATAACAAGCAGAGATTCTGGTACTAAATGAACAAATCTTTTGATTAAAATGCATGCTGAACCAAAGAAAAGGATTTAATTCAAACTGTGTAGCCAAGACTTAACTTGCATATTTTCATAAGTAGAAATATTTGATGACTTTTAATGCTAATAAGTGCCAACAATTATTAGGAGATGCCATACTTTATTTTTAATGAAACCACCTCACCTATATTGTTTTTTTAAAGAAGTTATGTTTAAATGTTCTGTCAAATGATTGTCTAGCATTGTATTTGCTTTTACTCTCACCCACCATCCTGCCCTTCCATTGACAGCTACCATATATGAATATAATACCCTTAAGATTCTATTGAATTTCACTAAAAGTTCTGAGCTACAAGAAAGCATATTTAACACTGAGAAAAGCAAAAAAACAGTTAAACATTATGAACTTGATTAATAGATGTTTATATAACCAAAATACTTATCACATGTAGGTTTAAAGATTGTTTTCCAACTTCTTTATTGATGTGTGCTATTTAATTTACCATGGGCTTCCCTGTTTGGCTCAGTGGTAAAGAATCCACCTGCCAATGTAGGAAATACTGATTCTGTCCCTGGTTTGGGAATATCCCCTGGAGAAGGAAATGGTAACCCACTCCAGTACTGTTGCCTGGAAAATCCCATGGACAGAGGATTCTGGTGGGCTAAGTCCATGGGGTTTCAAAGTGTCGGACACAGCTTAGTGACTAAAAAAACAAACCCAGTATCAATGTTAGAAATAATAATCAAGATTTCTGCCTTCGTTGCTATTAACAAATTTCTTCCTGGTACCTCCTGGGAAAACTTACATACACTATTCTCTTCTATGGATATAAAGTATCATGGATTTTATTGGAGATGCTTATTTAGATGTTTTTCCTTCAGATCACCTTCTGGGACATGGAAGAAGGAACCAGAAAACTTGGGCAGTGTCAACTTTAAGTGAGTCACACAATTTATTTTCTGTTAGTGGCCTGCATATTATGGGGTCATTATATTTGACACATAACATTTTTTTTTCTCTCAAACGTCTGTCTCAAGGGACCCTATCATCCTTATAGGTTCTGATGAACACTTTTATCAATAAAGAAAATGTGTGTATGACAGGATTTTAGTATTTCCAGGTAGCTGAGAAAAATGAGTAAGATAGGAACAGCTTTTCCTTTCCAGTCAGTGGTTGAGAAGATAATAGAAAGTGGCGTGTCTGTTATATCAAAATATAACCTAGCTCTGGACTAGACCTTGGCGGTGGCGGGGGGGTGGGGGGGGAGAACGCTCGGAAAGAGGACAGTACAGGGAGGTGAGTTTTGCTATCAAACATTCTAACGTAATAAGTCCTACATTTCTGTAAAACCATTGTCTTAGATTCATAAGGAGGAATGGTCCCTGTGGTGAAAAATGATATATTTGAGAGATATTCTGTTTTTAATCAGTTTATCATATTTCCTCATTTTTTGCATGTGGAACATTGATTTTTATTTCCGTGGCTTGCATTCTAGAGTTCGTCAAACAGATGGAACAGTGAAGAATTCTAAACAAGTGGTTTAAATATTTTGATGACTTTAACATAGTTGTGATAGAAGTTTCTGGACAGAAAACAAAAAGGATATGATTTTCTCACAAATACACCCATCAGGTGTCCCCTACCCCCTGTTCCCTCTGCACATCTGGCATCTTCCTGATGACTTCAAGATATAGAAGCATTTTATGAAATATTTGAGATGAAACATTTATGGTAAACTTTGGCAAATGACTATGAGCAGACACATGTATTAGTAGTAAAAGCTAATAAAACAATATTCAGCTGGAGGTTTGACACATGCCCAGTAGTTTCTTCACCTGCAGTTTGAGTATGAAGAGTGTAGCGCACTGGAGGCAATTCCATTTTCAGAATGGAAGACATTATAGTTCCTGATCCTTTGGCTCATTCACTTTAAGTCTTGCTCAATTGCAAAATGTAACCTGAGATTTAATAACTAGTGTTACCCTGAGAGGATGCTTAGGGATAAGTTTAGATTAAAAAATATATATTCACATCCTCTGCATAACTGGCAGATTTTTCTTTCTTGCTTGGGAGAGGACTGACAGCTAACTCACCTTTTTGTATTCCATGGGCATTTGCAGCATAGATCTTTCAGTCATGATCTAAAATAGCTCTTCTCCAGACTAACAATTTTTTTTTTTTTACAAGCATTTACTGAGTTATCTGGGTGTCAGGGATTTGATAAATGCATGTGTAGGAAACCCAAAAATGGGTGTATAAGACCTCTTTGAAATGATCACATCTTCCTCAAAATCTTTTGGATCTTCAGCAATCCATATTGTTTCTGGCCCATCTTGATTGGCGGTTCCTTTTTAATCTCACTCATGAAGTCTTCTGGCTCTGCTTCTGCTTTACTCATTTAAAAAATAGATTATTTATTCTGTGAATAGATAATATTTCCATATACTATAAAAAATAAGGATCAAAAGATTAAATGGGGGAAATAAATAATTGGGTGAGATAAGTCTCCATTCTTTGTCTACTAGTAATCTAATTTCTTGGCAACTCATTGCAGAGAAGCTCTTTACATTTGAAAGAATCTGTGTATCAGTTTTTCTACTAAAGGCATACTCTACATATTATTTGGTTTGATTTTTTCCACGTAAAATATATATCCTAGATACCACTCCTATACAACTGTGTCATCCTTTGTGGTGACCTCATAGCATCATTTAATATATGTTCTATGGATCCATATGATTATAAATTATGATTATGAATCCTTATGATTATACAGTGGAAGTGAGAAATAGATTTAAGGGACTAGATCTGATAGAGTATCTGATGAACTATGGACGGAGGTTCGTGACATTGTACAGCAGACAGAGATCAAGACCATCCCCAAGAAAAAGAAATGCAAAAAAGCAAAATGGCTGTCTGAGAAGGGCTTACAAATAGCTGTGAAAAGAAGGGAAGCAAAAAGCAAAAGAGGAAAGGAAAGATAAACCCATTCGAATGCAGAGTTCCAAAGAGTAGCAAGGAGAAATAAGAAAGCCTTACTCAGAGATCAATGCAAAGAAATAGAGGAAAACAATAGATTGGGAAAGACTAGAGATCTCTTCAAGAAAATCAGATATACCAAGGGAATATTTCATGCAAGGATGGGCTCAATAAAGCAGAGAAATTGTATGGACTTAACAGAAGCAGAAGATATTAAGAAGAGTTGGCGAGAATACACAGAAGAACTGTACAAAAAAGATATTCACTACCCATATAATCACGATGGTGTGATCACTCACACTCACCTAGAGCCAGACATCCTGGAATGTGAAGTCAAGTGGGCCTTAAGAAGCATCACTATGAACAAAGCTAGTGGAGGTGATGGAATTCCAGTTGAGCTATTTCAAATCCTGAAAGATGATGCTGTGAAAGTGCTGCACTCAATATGCCAGCAAATTTGGAAAACTCAGCAGTGGCCACAGGACTGGAA